TATATTTTACCAATTTTTCTCAATTCTTTAGATTTTAGCACCCCATTATTCTCTATTCTTTATTTTTTCGCCTATTTTTCTCTATTCTTTATTTATCTGGCCCATTTTGCTGCAGTATTGGCCCATAATTCTTTATTCTGTAAACCCTATCTAGAACCTCTTGTATTGGGAGCATGTTTTGGTGAAATGATCTCATGATTTTTGTCCAGCATGCAACATTTTGTTGGGTTGAATGAGTGATACAGATTTTATGTTCTGTTTTCAGCGTCACCAACCTTTAGGTTCAGTCTGTTAAAGTTTTTTTAGACATCAATTACTTTGTCATGAAATTTTATGAAATTTGGACAGGAGCTTTTTTATTATAAAAAAATACTAAAAATAAAGAAAAAGTATTTTCAAACTTTTGCTTTTGATAGCTAGTCTTTTGTTTTTTACTGATAAATTGACTTTTTTTTGCTGTTTACATTAAAATACAATCCGAGTTGAAAGTTATTATACATCAATAACATTGTTAAACCTTCATAGAATTTTATGAAACTTTGGCAGAAGCTTTTTTATGATCAAGTCAGACAGCATAGAGAACAAAATTTTGAAATTATTTTTTTTTACTTTTTCATGGTATATTGAAATAAAGGATTTATTTTTTTTTACAGAAAAAAATTATATACAGTCAGGATCATGAATTTTATCTTCAAAGAAATTAATGAAACTTTGGAAATCTTTTTTTTAAATCATTTTTATTACACCATTAACTTTGTTATACCTTCATGGAATGTTATGAAACTTAGACAGACGCTTCTTTTAGAAAAAAATAGCATCTGAAGAAAAAACTTTGATTTCTGTTTTAATGTATTTAACTAATGAATGGACTTAGTTTTGGGCAGTCAGCATTAGAATTTTACAAAGACAGCAGCAATCACATAATTTGAAAAGCACAAAATGCATTTGTTATATTCCTATATAATTACATTTCATAGAAGTTTCATACCATTCGGTATATTTGATTAACCAAGGCATTCCAAAAGTTATATTTTATTTCCCTATAAAAAGCAACATCTATAACTGCACATGCTCTAGATGACAGTGTTAAAAGTAATGCATAGAAAACAAATGAAAGGCTTGATTTAACTTGAAATATCATGGTTGTAGCTTAAAAATGTATTTATAAGAATTGAATGCTTCTGTTTGTAAATTTATATAGGTTGTAAAAGCATTGAATGGCATGCATTTTAAATATAATGCGTCCTTTCTTTTTACAAAATGTGCTTCTGTTAAGCTTTAACACGCCAATAAAATTCCAAAAAGAACCATTCAATTCTAAAATATGATTTTAATTGCTGACAGTAATTATGTATTTCAATGAAATGCTGAGAAAAAAATGTGACAAAACAATATGGGAATAACAAAATCATAATGTGCTTGGTTATGAAGTAAAAACTGTAAAAGATGTAGAAACATGAACAGTAGGCCTGGGTAACAACAAAAGTTTTCTCTTGTTTAATTTTCTTATATCCAATGTACACCATTGAATGGGTAGGGGTCCATGCATGATCTGACAAAAGCTTGTTGAAATTCACAAGAAGAAATAATGAGATGACATTGTCTGATAGACCAAGGAGGTCTGAATAAAACATCCTGGCTAAGGCTTAGATTTAGGAACCACAAGGGAATGCTTATGAATTTTTCATTCTTGATAAGAGTAAACTGTATGTTTAGTATATGAAATCAATATTGTTTTCTTCTGTACATTTCTGATGTAGTAAAGTTATTGAGTACAATGTTTTGAGTAGTGTAGCTCTTGACAACTCTATTAATTACATATGTCATTATATATTTTATACATTAGCAGTATATTGACACACAATGTTCAAACATTTAAAATATTGTATATCAATAGACATTTAAAGCTAAGTTTTGATAACAATAATCATATCTCTAGTTTATTAAATTTCAATACCAAATGCAAAATCATAGTGTTTCATTTATTCCTGTTGATTTACATAGACACTGCACGTTTGACGTACACATTTTTGTATTATATTAAACTAAATTTCCCTACATTGAAGGTATGTATAATAGACAAAAAAATCCTTGAAAAAAAACGAAAATTTAAAAGAATACTTTTAACATCATTTATGAAAACTGAAAAAAAATAAATAAATGCATTATTAAACAAAAATTAAGCTAATTACTATAAATTTGTTGATTTTCCATTCAATGACTACAAAATGAAACTTGATGTGGTCAATCTATTTATAATGTTTATAAAACAGCTGAAAAATTATTACAAGAATATTGTAAAAAAGAGTAAGTTTTTTCATAAAAAATATTGATGACAAATTATTCAAATTGGTCAATATGTGGGACTGTTTATCTCCCTTGCAGTGGCTGGATGCCAGCATGTTTCAAATATAATCCTATCAACTTCAGTACAAAATCATTTATTCAATATATAGCAGGAACAACATTGTGTTGAAAGAATATACATTGTAATAATTTACTGCATCATTTGACTTATTTATGTAAATATTTTGTAGTATTCAAGTTTTCCATAGATTTTATTTGTTGAAACCAATGAAATGTTAAACATAACAACAGAAGAGTTAAAACTTTGTTATTATAAAGATCATAATGGAACATCAGTACCTTTGATCGGGAAAATCTAAGTGATCTATAAAGGGTTTCCACTATTTATATAAAGGATCAAGATTCATTCATAAGATAGAAACATGGAAGCATAATAAGACAAATGGTTTAAATCTCGAGTTGACGTGCTCGTTGAGGCAGTAATAATTGTTTTGTATGGACAGGGGTTATCTGTGTTTTTTTAAGTGTGTATTGTACAATACCTAGAAGAAAGATGACAACAGGTTCATGAAATATTATGCTCCATGCTTTATAGTAATTGAGTTTCTGCCACGTTTCTGCATAAAACAACTAAATGTGATATACTAGGAAGGTTATCTTAATAGTAAGTTATTTAATTTTTTTTTTAACACAAAGATAAAATATTGGTGATAAGTGAAACTCTAAAACAATTTAAAAGAATGAAATGTATTGTTTAATTTTTCTTTCATAGTCATCAGCAGTTTGTGTGAGTTAAATTCCATTTAATGTTTTATAGCAGTATACTACTGTGATCAGAATAACAGCCTGCTATCTAGCTAAGAGCTAGTTTATTTTTTGTAGGTTTGCCAGTACCAAATGTCCACGTTCAAGACTGTTTTATTTTTCTCTCAGTTTTTCTAACGTATCTAAACAGAAATAGATTTTAGCAGGGTCTTGCAGTTTGGTCATTTTTTGTCCCTCCTATGATAGAAGATGGGCATTATATTTTCTTGTCTGTGTATCCGTTGATTGTCTGTCCCATATCAGGTAAAAGGTTATGGTTAAGGAAGTTTACCATTAAGTTGTGGTCACTTAACTTGGATAGTCATTTTTTACACTGATTACATGGTTCAGTGAACATAGAAATGGGATAGTGGGAAATTAGAACATTCTCTGGTTTAAGTTTTTGGCTGAGGTAATTTACATGTTTCATGAAGCTTTAGTTACATCAACCTGAAACTTAAAACTGGTACATCTTGCTTTTTTTCAAAACTTATATGAAAAAATTTTATGACCCCTATTGCACGGTTCACTGAACATTTACCTGTTAGCAGATCATGGTGTCCTATGGACACATTCTTGTTAATATTTGCTGTTTAACCTTCATGATTGTAACAGTACATTTTAATCACAAGCAAAAATTATGTTTAGATCAATCATTTTAAATATCACTTTTGTATACCTAGGCAATCATTTAATTCAACAGACCATTTAACTTTTAAATGTTTTTAAAGGTAAAAGGAAATTTTGAAAGTTTCATGATGACATATAACTATCATGAACCTTTCAATTATCAAATGTTCAAAACAATCCTAAATTTCAAGTTTTAATTTGTATGCCCACACAATTAAATGGCTGGAGCATATAGTGTTACACATGTCTGTCTTTCCTTCCTTCTGTCATTATGATATCAAACAGTTTTCCAGACTTTTTCTTTATTTCTGAAGATGTTGATCTAAAGAAAAATTCATGAAAATTGTATAAGTCTGGAAATGTTTTGTAATGCCTGAAGATCTGAAGCTAATTGTGATGAATGAGTTGTTTTGAATAATGTAAAAAAAAAAAGCTTTTAGAACCTTCGTAACAACTTATTGTACCTAACTACTATATTTTGGCAGTGTTTTCCTCAACATCATCCTATAAGCATTAAATGCATAAAAGATGGCTACTATGAGGGTGTGGATGGGGGTTTACAGAATAGAGAATAATGGGCAAAAAATATAAAGAATAAAGAAAAATGGACCAAAAGAATTAAGAATAAAGAATAATGAGGCACTTACATTCTATTAATTTCAAGATCTGATTGAACATTCCATGAGAAAAAATAGCAATTTTGTAAGATTATGGTTTCCTTGTTTTTTAATTAAACCTTGTTAGGTTTGAAGCATCTTTACGAATACAGAGAGATATATGGTCAATGTGACAGGAACCCCCCAAAAACTAAAATCTGAAAGACCTTTATGCATTTATTCAGATTATGTTATTGCAAACAGACAGTTGCTAAAATAGAATATGTGCCTATATTTACAAGTCATTAAAGTTATGTTTGATTTTCTGATGGGATTTAACGGTATTTGATACATATATTGACACATCGTGTTATTGTTAATGTTTTATATCAAAATATTACCAGTTTTAATACCAGTAATTTCAAAATTCTTTATTTTTCAAATCCTATGGGGTTATTAGATATAATATGTTTTGTTTGAACTTTTGTACCAACATACATTTTTATCTGAAATTTGATTTGAATTAATGATTATTTGTAACAATATACATTTTTATATAAAATTTGAATAAAGAAGAACATATATTTAAACAAGGCTAAACTTTTTTCAACTTTTCACTAATTCATTGTAAAAAGTGTTAATAAGTTATCAATTTAATTGCAGGAAACCAAAGTTAATGATGTGAATTATTGTGCAGTTTAAAGATAGACGTTAAGCAAGATGGCACAGAGATATATTACAGCGATGGACTTTGCTGATATGCATGCTAGGAAGATACTTAGGAAACAAGCAATGGTAAGTACTGACATGCATGCTAGGAACTTACTTAGGAAACAAGCCATGGTAAGTACTGATATGCATGCTAGGAAGATACTTAGGAAATAAGCCATGGTAAGTACTGACATGCATGCTAGGAAGATACTTAAGAAACAAGCCATGGTAAGTACTGACATGCATTCTAGGAAGATACTTAGGAAACAAGCCATGGTAAGTACTGACATGCATGCTAGGAAGATACTTAGGAAACAAGCCATGGTAAGTACTGACATGCATGCTAGGAAGATACTTAGGAAACAAGCCATGGTAAGTACTGACATGCATGCTAGGAAGATACTTAGGAAACAAGCAATGGAAAGACTGATTGGAAAACTATATAGTAGATTTTGTTTTGATGCTAGTTAGTTGTTTGACTACAGCATTGGAGAGTAAAAGGTTCTCGTGATTGAAAGGGTAGAAAAAATAAGGAGCCAACAAGGTGTCCAATTTTGATGTTCGAAATTACAATGGCCTTTGGTTCTGAGGTCCCATCTTATTTCTTATCTTGTTTTAAGAATTTATATCTGGATGTAATGTGATGATTCCAATAACATTGTCAAAACATGTAAATGAATACAGGTGGCTTTAATTTGTTAAGGATTATAGACCAGTAGTTGCTGCTTTTTCCTTTGCAGAATGTTAGTGCAGGACTAGGTATATAAGCCTTATCTTGTGGCTAATTCATGTGTATATCATTCAGAAAAAAATATATGTTTGGAGCAGTCCTGTGTATGTTTCGTAATCATTACCAATTGTTTATACATATAGGTAGTACCTTATACTGCCATGTATGAACACAACAGGCTTGATGTATCATGGCACTGTGAAACCCTTAGACTTGAAATGAAATAAAGTGTTCTTACCTTTCAGACATTTTTCCTGTAGTCAAAATTTCTAAAGTATAGTCATCAGACAATCAAATAGCTATAAAGTTTCATACCATGATTCATTTATAATTTATTAGTTAAATTCCTTTGGCTAAAAATATGGAAATTTTAGACTTTATTGTGCTTTCAGATAATAAGCAGAGAAATTCAGGTAGGAAAAATGGTACATTGTGTTATAAAAGGTATAAATGATATGCTTTATGTACCGTTTACTGCACCGCAAATCACAGCTATTTTCAATTCACTACATTTTACAAATATTTATTCAAATTTGTGTTAAAGGTTCAGTTATAATTGCTATTTGTGATGTAACATTAGTAAGATTAATGGTGACAATTATTGTGAAGATAAATTTTTTGCAAAAAAGGTTTAATAATAAGAAAATAGGAAGAGAAACACTGTTTTGACCATATTGTTTTACATCACCAGAACTTATATCATTTTTATGCCCCCGCTGTAGCAGAGGGGGCATTAAGTGTATGTGGAAGTTGACTCATGCATATTTACAAGCGGGGGCATCTGTGGCCCATAGACACATTCTCCATTTATTTAATGCAGCATTGTTTATGTTCTCAATTTTGATGGAATATCATTAAACATTTTATGAACCAAATCAAGAATTCTATCAGAATTTTCAATTCATGCTAGATTCCACCTTGATATTTTTGTTTTCAGAGTTTTACATTCCTAGTTTCATCAAAATAATAAATTTGCCTGCTTCATTGTATGTTTTGATGTACCAGTAAAATGTATTCATTTTAGTCATGTTTGGCCATAGATTGACCAGTTATTCCTTATAATGTTAATTTGTTACATTTTTACTCAACAGAAAGTGATTTGAAACTATTGGAAAGTAGTACTTTGGCAGTGTTTTCAGTATAAAAAAAATAGATTCCTGGTCATTTCTTTTGTAAAAGTTAGCACAGGACATTTTCAGAATTTTTTTTTAAAACCAATTTAGATCTGGTTACCCAGTAGAGAGGGGTCCAATTTCCAGAGTGAAATCTTGAGCAATGGCTTGTATGATAGTGATTTTGGTACTGCATGTTCATCATGCTGAGTGATTTTAAGGGTGATTTGGTTGTAGTAATACATGTACATGTATTTATAAAATTCAATATAAATAATAACTTGATTCACAAGTAATTTCTGATAAGAGTTATTTTCTAATACATTGAATATGAATGATACTTACTGATAGGTAGTTCCTAGTAAGGATGATTTGGTATTACCTAGTATAGCTATAGGAATTATACTTGGTTGTGAGGTAATGCCATTTATGAGTAACATTACTACCCGTATTGATTTGTTCAACTCTACCTTTTCTGAACTTTTATAAGATAACCTCTAATTTTCTGGCAGATTGTATATTTGTTGGGTTTTTTTTTTTGTTACTCCAATAAATGTGTTAATAAATGATGTTGAAATCTTTAACAAAACTTTTTATAAACAAATATACTGGTAATGCACCTTATTTTTGTCAAGAGATAAAGTTTTAAAGAATAGATTAATACCCGAAGATGAACAAAATATTTATAGAATACATCAGAAAGCTTCTTATAATTTTTATCTTGCCTGTGACACCAAGATGTCAGAGGCAACAATTGTTAAGTTTTCTGTTAAAGTCAGTTTGATAAGAACTACTTGTGATAGATCAATGATGTTTTCTATAAAGTTACATTACTCTCAGACTCTCAGTATATATCAGTTTGATGACTATTTCAAGGCCTTGACCCCTAAGTCATGGTCCAGTGACTTTTAATTTTAAGCAATTTTCAATGTTAAGTTTTCTGCTGAAGTCAGTTTGATAGGAACTACTTGTGATAGATGAATGATATTTTCTATAAAGTTGCATTACTATCAGTACATATCAGTTTGATGACTATTTTGAGGCCCTGCCCCTCAGGTCATGGTCCAATGACTGAAATTAGCAATCTTCAATGTTAAGTTTTGTGCCTCAGTCAATTTGATCTATTCCAACTACTTGTGATAGATCAATTATATCTTCTATAAAATTGCTTTACTATCAGTACATATCAAATTGACGACTATTTCGAGGCCCTGCCCCTGTAAATCTTGGTCCAGTGACTTTCAATAGATTACCAATTTTTAATTGTAAGTTTTCTGCTTAAGTAAGTTTGATAGGAACGACTTATGATAGACCATGATATGTTTTCTAAAGTTGCATAATACAATCAGTACATCTCAGTTTGTCGACCATTTGCAGCCCTGCCCCCTAGTTCATGGTCCAGCGACTTTGAATTAATTAGCAATGTTGCTGTCCATCAGATTGTCTCTCTGTGAATTTTCTGCTGCCAGGCGAGACATATCTCTGTGTCAACAGTTTATTTTAACAGATTTAAGAGGAAAATTTATAAAGTTGCGCAATCATTTCAATTCTTGAGAATTGCTATGTCTATTAAACTAAAAGGTTACCTGAATATATAAGATATATATGTATATAACTTTTTATTGTCTGATAATGGGTTTAAAATAGCTTGTTCTGCTTATTGTAAAGTTAATATGTATATGCATGTATACATCAAAAAGTAAAATGTTTTATTTGAAATAAATTGAATTTCATATTATCTGTCATTTATGGTAAGATATTATGAGCAATAAAAACTTATGTTGTTAGCAAACAAGCCATTCAACATATCATTGGCATAAAAGGAACTGCCAGTCAAATGTAAGTAAGCAGTCAAAAGATAATAGACATAACATTCATTGCATTGCAAAAGAAAGCTGGCAATCAACAAATCATTGACATAACATTGATGGCTAGTCAAATTTAAACAAGCAGTCAAAAGACAATTGGTTATGTTATGCCATTGATTGCCAGTCAAATGTTATGGCTGACAACACACCATTGACATAACATTGATTGCCAGTCAAATGTAAACAGGCTGACAACACACCATTGACATAACATTGATTGCCAGTCAAATGTAAACAGGCTTGACAACACACCATTGACATAATATTGATTGCCAGTCAAATGTAAACAGGCTTGACAACACACCATTGACATAACATTGATTGCCAGTCAAATGTTAACAGGCTGACAACACACCATTGACATAACATTGATTGCCAGTCAAATGTTAACAGGCTTGACAACACACCATTGAAATAACATTGATTGCCAGTCAAATGTAAACAGGCTTGACAACACACCATTGACATAACATTGATTGCCAGTCAAATGTAAACAGGCTTGACAACACACCATTGACATAACATTGATTGCCAGTCAAATGTTGACAGGCTTGACAACACACCATAGACATAACATTGATTGCCAGTCAAATGTTGACAGGCTTGACAACACACCATTGACATAACATTGATTGCCAGTCAAATGTTGACAGGCTTGACAACACACCATTGACATAACATTGATTGTCAGTCAAATGTTAACAGGCTTGACAACACACCATTGACATAACATTGATTGCCAGTCAAATGTTAACAGGCTTGACAACACACCATTGACATAACATTGATTGCCAGTCAAATGTAAACAGGCTTGACAACACACCATTGACATAACATTGATTGCCAGTCAAATGTAAACAGGCTTGACAACACATCATTGACATAATATTGATTGCCAGTCAAATGTAAACAGGCTTGACAACACACCATTGACATAATATTGATTGCCAGTCAAATGTAAACAGGCTTGACAACACACCATTGACATAACATCGATTGCCAGTCAAATGTAAACAGGTTGACAACACACCATTGACATAACAATGATTGCCAGTCAAATGTAAACAGGCTGACAACACACCATTGACATAACAATGATTGCCAGTCAAATGTAAACAGGCTGACAACACACCATTGACATAACATTGATTGCCAGTCAAATGAAAACAGGCTTGACAACACACCATTGACATAACATTGATTGCCAGTCAAATGTAAACAGGCTGACAACACACCATTGACATAACATTGATTGCCAGTCAAATGTAAACAGGCTGACAACACACCATTGACATAACATCGATTGCCAGTCAAATGTAAACAGGCTGACAACACACCATTGACATAACATTGATTGCCAGTCAAATGAAAACAGGCTTGACAACACACCATTGACATAACATTGATTGCCAGTCAAATGAAAACAGGCTTGACAACACACCATTGACATAATATTGACTGGCAGTCAAATGTAAACAGGCTTGACAACACACCATTGACATAATATTGATTGCAAGTCAAATGTAAACAGGCTGACAACACACCATTGACATAACATTGATTGCCAGTCAAATGAAAACTGGCTTGACAACACACCATTGACATAACATTGATTGCCAGTCAAATGAAAACAGGCTTGACAACACACCATTGACTTAACATTGATTGGCAGTCAAATGTAAACAGGCTGACAACACACCATTGACATAACATTGATTGCCAGTCAAATGTAAGCAGGCTGACACCAAACTATTGGCATAATATTGATGTAAACAGGCTGACAACATATTATTGACATAACATTGATTGCTTGTCAAATGTAAGCATGCGGGCAGACAACAAATTATTGGCATAACATTGATTGCCAGTCAAATAAAAGCAGTCAGTCAAACAATTACTGCCAGTGCAATAAATCTGTGACTGTTACTCAGTTTCTGGTGCTGATCATGGATCTTTATGAATCTTTTCTTTGATGTATGATTGAGATGATACTAATCCTTGAAGAAAAATTATGGAATATGAAATTATATGTATGGGGTATAAGTTTGATAAATCTAGATTTTAATGTCCTTATGTTTGATAATGAAGGTAATTAATAGACTCTGGCCAGGTGTCATGACAGGATTTTACATAATGTTCAAACTTACTCTGATATGACACTTATTTTCTTTTATTCTCATTCAAATTTTAAAAATGAGACCAATTCTATAAAAAGGTTAAAGTGCTTATAATCTCTAATATACGTTAGAAACTGAGGCATGATGTATTCAAAGGGGGAATGCAGAGGCCTGTATGATGAAATTAGTCAAATTTGGATATTGTGACTGATATGGAGGATGCTATCAATCATGTATAATTTGAAAGTAAACAAATTTATGGGTCCATGAACCCATAAAATAACATAAGGTCTTTTTTTAATTTACTTCCATTCCC